ATTTTGTCACCAGGTCAAGTTCAGGATAATGAAATATCACCTGAATATAATTCTGAGTTTCCCTAGCAATTAGGTGCATCTATGTTTTACTGCATTGACTTTTTTGTAAACAAAGAGAAAAAAATGTATTAACAGCTGTGATTGTTTTCTAAGAAGTTCTCAGCTTTAATTTGCTAGTAAATGAAAATTATTTGTCTCTGCAGATGAGAAATATGTAGCCTTTGTTACTAGTCAGAAAGCTCATGCAAAAATCCTAAGTATAGATCCATCAGAGGCTATGAAAATTCCCGGAGTGGTGGATTTCATTTCACACAAGGATGTTCCTGGGCATAATATGTGGGGTGGTGGACCCACAATAGATGAGAAGATATTTGCCTCAGAGAAGGTGGAATTTTGAAATTGTTGCTTGAGACTCACTTTAAATTCAATGGGTTTCTTTCGGTAAAATAAGTTAAGCTGTATTTAATGACTTTATTTTGTGATTTACTACATGTATACGTACCTATTCTATATAGGTGTTATGCATGGGACAAGTGATAGGAGTTGTTGTAGCAGACACACAGGTCCATGCACAGAGAGCAGCTAAAGTTGTCAAAGTGGAGTATGAAGAGATGGAGCCCATTATAACCATAAAGGTACCCATTTGTTGATTTTTCCACAATAATCCTTCCAAGTAAATTAATTTGAAGGTATTGATATTTGGCCTTCATTCTGAATTTTTCCGAATTAAGACTGAAAAAATGGATATAAATAAACATATTACATTACATTGCACTACCTTACATTACATTGCACTGCATTACATTACATTGCACTACATTACATTAGTAATATAAGGAATATTATTGTTGTGTTTTGCATTAAAAGTTGCTTGTGTATTTTTAAAGTTCATTGTAATGCATTTATACTAACATGGATTTTACAGGAAGCCATAGAGAAAGGATCCTTTTATGAACACAAAAGTAGCATAAGTAATGGAGACCTTGTGAAAGGTTTTGAGATGGCAGACCATGTTGTGGAGGGGGAGGTCAATATGGGGGGACAGGAACACTTCTACCTGGAGACCCATGCAGCACTGGCCGTGCCTAAGGGAGAGGATGGGGAAATGGAGCTTTTTGTGTCCACTCAGAACCCAACAGAAACCCAGGTATTCATTTTGCAGTGGGGGGAAGGAATTTTTTGTGTTCAAGGCATTCATTAAAGCGTGTCAGGTGCAATACATACTTGTAAAAAGGACAATTTACACTTGATATATTTAAGGCTTTGGCAAGGTTCCTGGTTTTGTTCAACATTTCTTTTAAAACTTAATGGGGGAATGAGTACCAGGTATATCCAATATTAAATATTCCAGCCTAGTCATCCCATGAAGCCACCCTTTGTTATTATTATTATTATTATTATTAGAATTATGGGGGTGTTGTTTTGTGTGGAAAAATATTTTCATAGTTTCTAAAGATTTGCTAGGTATAAAGTTGTGTAAATGAAACATGAATGTAATATAGTTGGTGTTTTTTATGTTTTGTTTTGTTTTTTTTTTTAATAAAATCTATATATTCCATATATTCTCCATATTATCAGTATTGCATGTTTTATTTTTTAATGGTTCCCTGTCTATTTTGTGAAAATTACTAACCTACACAGAGTTAACATGCATGCTACACTGATTTTTCTTCATTTTAGAATTGCTCACCTTCGAACTTAATATTTAGGGGACTTTAGGGTTTGATGAGTCGACATGTTCCTTGTTTATCTGTTTTTTGTATCTATATAATTATTATTATCTTCTGATTTCTAAACTGTTTTCAATGTGTCCAAAAAAAAACTGTGAACTAAAATTCATGATATCAGCAATTCAGGTTATATCCAATAGGATTTTATTAAAAATACCATCCTCTATAATCTTGCACAAATGCCTGGTAATTTAACCTCAATTTTTTTGTGAGGAACTTGTTAAAGTAGCTATACTTCAATCACAAATTCTTGGGAAAAATTTTGTTAAGTCAGCTGTTATTGAGGAATATGTGTTGTCTAACCTAATTTTTTTTTAACATCTTGCCATTAATTTACTTTTAACATTAAAAATTGAGTTGTTCATCACAAATTGCTATAATTAGTGAGTTAGGAGTCAGGTGTATACAGTTGTACATGTATCATATTGTATATATGAATTATACTGAAACAACAGTGAACAATACAGTTACATGTTTGTCATCATTATTGATTTGTAATTGTCATAGATCAGTTTAATATCCTACATGTTATTCACTATTAAGAGAAAAATATTACAAACTTTACAGGCCAAAATAATAGGCTTCCATTGAACCTTATTTGTTTTATCTGTAAATGTGACTCAGAAATTTCAAATCTAACATTGTATTGCATTGTACAACTTTCTACATGTATGTCATCTTTTACACTGAGATTTAACTGCTAGAGTTCTTTTTAAAATTATGAACAATCTCTAACTCTACCTTCAATTTAAAGAACTAATAATTTTCTAGAGTCAGAATTCTTTGATTTGTAGCATGTGGTAGCAGAATGTCTTGGAGTACCAGCAAACAAAATTGTATGCCGAGTCAAAAGAATGGGTATGTAATGTCAAGCTTGATTTTGGTAGTTAACTGTATTGCTATGAACCTGTTGTTGTATGACTTGAACTCTATCAGCTAATATCTATGATTTTCAGGCTTGCCTTGTCTTGTGAACATTTGTCACTGCTTATAAAATGTACATTTCCAGAATGAATTGTTTAAGATAAATATACATAATGATTTGTGTATCAGTGCTGCATTTGTGTAACCTGGTTTTATGTAGAAGATTTGTTTACAAAATATTTCAAATATGGTCATGTGAAATTAATTTTCAGACTGTCATATCCACCTGGCCCTCTCGTGGTGTGAAGTATTAAGTTTCAATGATTCTCAATTAACAGTCAACAAAATAATTCTGCTGATATTCATGATAAATAATATTGGCAAGCTATTTCATAATGAAAAATGCTCCTTATTTAAAAATATGAGGCCCGTCTAGGTATATTTTCACAATCTTTTTAAATTAAGTCTGCAAATAAAGTAACTTTTTTGTGCAATACTTTCTTTCCCTGTGGATTGTAAAAAATAATCAGGAGTGCATTCAGATATGGACTGGCACTGTAATTATGCTTATTTTAGTGAAAATCATATTTTAGCGGGCTGCTTCTTGTTCCCTAATTTATGTACACTCCAAAATATGATTAAAGCTTATACATGCCATTATTCAAATTCTAGTATGCTAGTTCATGATTGCACTAATCAGTTGAAGAGGACAATGGCACTAAATTTTTAGTGCACTTATTCATGAACATTTGCACTATATGATCAAATCTATACCATAGGGACTTCATGAGAGAAAATCATGTGACGATGCAACCTGTATCTATATCTGAATAGTTGTTTAGAAATTAAACCTTATTTCTTAAATTTCTATTCAAATACTGATTTTTGATAAATACTGATAATTCAGAAAATAAAATTAAAAGTTGATCTGAAAAATTAACAGAGTAAACCATGATGATAAGGAAGTACAATACATTAAGCTAGGAAAATGAAAGATATACTTTAATTTTTAGTTGTTTTGTTGACTTATTATTTTTTTTAATGACAGGAGGTGGCTTTGGAGGAAAGGAAACACGTAACATTGCTTTCACTACACCTGTTGCCATAGCAGCAAATAAGTATGTTACTTACTCTAACTTATCAATCTACTCTTATATATATTGTTTATAATTTTCCAGCATGCTATTTGAATCTGAGCATATTAACATGATAGTAAAAGGAAAATGAGAATAAATTATTTTTCAATGTATCAGACTAGGTTGTCCAGTACGATGCATGCTAGACAGGGATGAAGACATGCTCTCTAGTGGAACTCGACATCCATTCTACGGAAAGTACAAAGTATTTCCAGTTTATTTTTATCAGTATCTAAAATCTTTAGTTACCTGGTATAAATCTTATGTTAATGATCAAGTGAGGTTTTCTGATTGAAGAGTGCCTGTCATTCATCTGTATGTTGTTGGTAGTCATAACATCCTAGCATAAAGAGGATTCAAATACAATGTATGTTCAAATGAAAGGTCATGCACCCTGTTAAAGGAAAGTGTATAACCAAGAGTTAAAGATTATATATATGAAAGGATTGTATGATGTAATTTCAATTTGCTCAATCATAAACCTTTGGATTTTAGCTAGGACACAAGTTTTATGTAGCAGTGCGTAATTAACTTTCTTTATAAAAAATACTAGGAATTATAGCACTTTAATTTATCTTATCATCTGCATGTAGTGCTGGTGCAAGTTTGTGCAAGTAATAGTCTTTGGACAAAGGTCAATAGGGAGTGGTTTTAATATATCTACAGTATGTAATTATGTTTTAGGAAGAGAAAAGTCGCTAAGGTGAGCATTATTGCCTATGGGGCTCTTGTACATTTATGTAGAAAATCCATTATACTTGCAAAATTTGCAACAGCCAAAAGTTTAATGAGAGAAAACCAGAAATATCTGTGTATAAATAGTTTCACATGTTTCTCTGTGAACTGCAGGTTGGCTTTACTAAGGATGGTAAAATTACAGCTCTTGAATGTGACATTTACAACAATGCTGGACATAGCTTGGACCTCTCTGGTGCTGTAAGTACATGTATATGTCTCTATGAATGCTTTTTCATACAGTTTCATCTGATGAAATCAAAGTTGTTCAAAACCATGAGGCATAATTCTGATGAGCTTAACAGAAATATTTTAACATGTAAGCAAAAATAATTTTGCAGGTAATGGATAGAGCATTATTCCATAGTGATGCCAGCTATAAGATTCCTAACATTAGGGTATCTGGACACCTTTGTAAAACTAACATTCCTTCAAATACAGCATTCCGGGGTTTTGGTGGACCACAAGGCATGTTTATAGCAGAAACCTGGATAGAGCAAATTGCTTCAACTCTAGACATTTCAGCAAGACAGGTACCTCATTTAAACCTGTATTTTATATTTTTTGTATCAATAATATCTCTGAGGCAACATACTGTTTTTAGCTCACCTGAGCCAAAGGCTCAAGTGAGCTTTTCTGATCAAAATTTGTCCGTTGTCTGTCGTCGTCGTCGTCGTTGGCGTTGGCGTTGGTGTCGTTGTTGTTGTAAACTTTTCACATTTTCATCTTCTTCTCCAGAACTACTGGGCCAATTTCAACCAAACTTGCCACAAAGTATCCTTGGGTAAAGGGGATTCAAGTTTGTTCAAATGAAGGGCCACACCTTCTTCCAAGGGGAGATAATTAAGAATTCGTGAAAAATTAATGGCATCATTAAAAAATCTTCTTCTCAAGAACCACTGTGCTTGAAAATATGAAACTTATGTGGAAGCATCCTCAGGTAGTGTAGATTCAAGTTTGTTCAAATCATGACCCCTGGGGGTCGGGTGGGGCCACAATGGGCGATCAAAGTTTTACATAGGAATATATAGGAAAAATCTTTAAAAATCTTCTTCTCAAGAACAGCAAAGCCATGATTGGTCATATTTATATGGAAGCATCCTCAGGTAGTATAGATTCAAGTTTGTTCAAATCATGACCCCCGGGGGTCGGGTGGGGCCACAATGGGCGATCAAAGTTTTACATAGGAATATATAGGAAAAATCTTTAAAAATCTTCTTCTCAAGAACAGCAAGGCCATGATTGGTCATATTTACATGGAAGCATCCTCAGGTAGTATAGATTCAAGTTTGTTCAAATCATGACCCCCGGGGGTCGGGTGGGGCCACAATGGGCGATCAAAGTTTTACATAGGAATATATAGGAAAAATCTTTAAAAATCTTCTTCTCAAGAACAGCAAAGCCATGATTGGTCATATTTATATGGTAGCATCCTCAGATAGTGTAGATTCAAGTTTGTTCAAATCATGACCCCCGGGGGTCGGGTGGGGCCACAATGGGCGATCAAAGTTTTACATAGGAATATATAGGAAAAATCTTTAAAAATCTTCTTCTCAAGAACAGCAAGGCCATGATTGGTCATATTTACATGGAAGCATCCTCAGGTAGTGTAGATTCAAGTTTTTCAAATCATGACCCCCGGGGGTCGGGTGGGGCCACAATGGGCGATCAAAGTTTTACATAGGAATATATAGGAAAAATCTTTAAAAATCTTCTTCTCAAGAACAGCAAAGCCATGATTGGTCATATTTATATGGTAGCATCCTCAGATAGTATAGATTCAAGTTTGTTCAAATCATGACCCCCGGGGGTCGGGTGGGGCCACAATGGGCGATCAAAGTTTTACATAGGAATATATAGGAAAATCTTAAAAAAATCTTCTTCTCAAGAACAGCAAAGTCATGATTGGTCATATTCAAATGGAAGCATCCTCAGATATTGTAGATTCAAATTTGTTCAATTTATGACACCCCCCCTCCCCCCGAACCACTTTTTTATTCAAACTTTTCAACCTTTCAAGACTGAACTGATTTCTGCTTTTTCCTAGCCATAGTGCTCAGGTGAGCGATGTGGCCCCTGGGCCTCTTGTTAAAAAGAGTTGTCTGTTGTCTCTATGCCACAAAATTACAGTATATGCAGACTTTAACCCTGGAACACTTGATTTTAATCAGACTAGCATCTCTTAAACCATGAACTAAAAGTATACTTGTATTGTCTGTTTGTTTGTATGTCCATGAAATTATATATGTGGACTTTAACCTTGGAACACTTCAAATAAATCAAGACTCTAGCACCCCCCCTCCCCTTCCCAGAATCAATGTTTCATGAAGATAGTTTTTGTTTCATGTATATTTAGGTCAGGGAAATCAACATGTACAATGAAGGGGAAACAACCCACTTCAACCAGCCTCTCCTTCAGTGTAACATCAAACGCTGCTGGAACGAGTGTTTGGAGAGAAGTGACTTCTGCAACAGGAGGAAGGACATTGATATATTTAACAGGTAACTAGTTTATTATTGAAGTTGTTTTTTATAGCAAGTGAAAGACATGCTACTAAAAGTAAAAAAAGAAAATCGTTTTATGATAGTATAGTCAATAGGAGGTTAAAAAAAATATTCTTATAATTTTTTTTTTGCATTTCAATGTCTGAAAAAAACTTAATAAGGCAAAATACAATACATGTACCACATACCAATAATGACTATCTTTAACCTCACTAGCTAGCTACATGTATATGATTGTTTTAACTTTCTAGATTTTCAGAATTAAAGGATAATGTGAATGTATCAGTTAATTGATAAAAATGTGTGGAAATCCTTACCAAAGTTCAGGTTTATATTTCTCAAATACATGTACTTGTGTTTGACAGTCATAGACTTATTTAATTTTAGTGAAAATCGATGGAAAAAGAGAGGAATATCTATTATCCCAACAAAGTTTGGTATCTCGTATACTGCACTGTTTCTAAATCAGGTGAGCTTTTTGATTCATACAAGTATTTTAATTTTGATGTACTGAAAATTTCAAATGTTATTTGAAGATTATCATGTATGTGCATGGGCAGATAATCTATAATTATTTTTTGTGTGCATATTCTGTAAAAATTCACACAGAGTTGTCTTCCCTTTGTTACTAGGTATTGTTTTTTAATAAGGTTGCTATTTCATTATCAGGCTGGTGCTTTGGTCATTATATACAAGGATGGGTCAGTTCTGATTACACATGGAGGCACAGAAATGGGACAAGGACTTCACACCAAAATGATCCAGGTATATCATGCATTAAACAAATCTTGCATTTAGTGTGTGTTTGTTAACCCTTCCCCCCATTTCTTTGCCTTTGCTTAGGAGTGATTGTCTTCGTACAGCTATAATTCTTTGCTTGTTCCTAAATATAAACTTGATTGGATCTCCTCAATTCTTTCATAAAGAGTACATTTAGATTCCCTTGGTTGTTAATTGTTATCTTCTTGATAAAATTTCTTTAGGTTGCAGCCAGGACATTAAAGATTCCTGCCTCTAAGATACACATTAGTGAGACGAGTACTAACACAGTCCCCAATACCTCTGCTACGGCAGCCAGTGCCAGCTCGGATCTGAATGGAATGGCCATCCAGGTAAGAATTACAGGTGCAAGGAATCTGCTTAAATTGTCATCAGCTGAGTAAACCCAAGATTAATTAATACTGAGACTATGTACACAGTTCATTCTGAATTTATTGACTGATCTGTCAAATTCCATTGATTAGAAACATTAGTATACTATATTTTTAAGTACATGTATTGCATGTACACTGATATATGGAAATAGATACATGTAAACGTTGTTATAATGATAAACGAAATTCATCTTTCATTTCAGAATGCATGTCAAATTTTGCTGGAGAGACTGGAACCATATATAAATGCAAACCCCAAAGGATCATGGGAAGACTGGGTAAACATTTCCAGTACATGTAGTACTTGTTGATATTTATAATTCAATATCATTTTTCCTCCATTATGGCAATGTCTATGTAAGTTAAAATATTTTATAGGTAAATGCAGCGTATTTTGACAGAACAAGTCTATCCACAACAGGATTTTACAAGTAAGGTCAAAATGTCAGGAGATATGTTCATTTAGCATTTTTGACTGATACCTAAATTGATGCATTGAATCCATGTATATTATGTTATTCAAATATTGCAATATAATTCAAATATTATAATCATTAAATATAAACCTGTAGATCCACTTGTACTATTTATCATTCACTATCTATTAAATCAGTGATATTTTGTTTATGTCTTTTGCAAGAACTCCAAACATAGGCTACAACTTTGAAACAAACAGTGGAAATCCCTTTAATTACTTCAGTTTTGGAGTAGCTTGTTCTGAAGTGGAGATTGACTGCCTTACCGGTGACCATAAGGTAAACAAACCATTTAAAAATCTCTGTGACAGAAAACAAATTGATCAATAGTTTGTCACATTACAGCTTGTTCATGCTTTCTTTAACACAGTTAAACTTTAGTGTTCCAAGATTTTTTGGGGGGAGGAGCATTTTATTTTCATTTTTATCATGAATTGTTGAATTTAAAACTTGGTTATTCTTTAAGGAGGTAAAATGTAATAATTAATGTAAAGAGGCAAACATTCTTGTCTTGGGTGGATCCTTTGAATGCAACCTGGTTGGAAATATTGGAGAAAATGTACTAGTATGCTATATCACTTTGGATCATCTTTATACAGGTACACTTGTTTATTTTGAATTAATTGTATGATTGTTTACATGCAGGTATTGAGAACAGACATAGTAATGGATGTAGGAGTGAGTCTGAATCCTGCCATAGACATAGGACAGATTGAAGGTGGATTTACACAGGTAAAATATATATAACATCAGCTGGGGCATTTAGGATAATATGTATATAAGTCAAGATTAATGATAGAACTGTACTACAGGGCCCTGTATGATTGTCAGTTTTTTAGTGAGGATTTTTTCTGTAGGGCTATGGTTTGATGATGTTGGAGCAACAGAAGATGGCACCAAATGGCTTCCTAATTACCAGAGGTCCTGGAAACTACAAGATTCCTGGATTTGGAGATGTTCCTGGAGAATTTAATGTTTCCCTCTTAAAAGGAAGTGTAAACAGAAGAGCTGTTTACTCCTCAAAAGTGAGTCCTTAAAAATAGGCTACCTTATTCCTCAAGGATAAGCTACTTCAAACGTAGAGGTGTTTACTTGGGGGTATTTGATGTAGATTTCATGTAAGAAGGAAATCCCCCCCCCCCCCCCCCCACACACACACACACAATATAAGTTCAGAATATCAATGTGTTGTAATAAAGATAGATAGAAAAATAAGGAATGAGGTGATCAACTTGCAAACAAAAAATCCCCCCCAACCTTACTTATTGTAGATATATGTAGAAATTTGTTTTAAGCCTTTTTAAAAATTGATACTTTAAAATGAATTTTGGAAATTTATTTTGAATTTGTCATATCAAACTGATAGTGCATGTAAAGCAATTTTTTTCCTGTTTTCTGTGACAGCTTTTAAAAAAGGAAAATGTTGGACACGTGTTTTCTTTTTTATATAGGCTATAGGAGAGCCCCCTTTGTTTTTGGCTTCTTCTGTCTTCTTTGCTACAAAGGATGCCATAAACTCTGCCAGACTGGATGCTGGTCTTAATGGGTATTTCCAGTTAAATAGTCCAGCCACTCCTGAGAGGATACGAATGGCATGTCAGGACCAGTTTACAAAGATGGTGAGCTTTATTACTTAAAGATATGTAGAAATTTCTTCAACTTTAGTACTTTATTGTTTTTTCGCAAGATGAACATTGCTCTATATTAAATGTGACAAAAATCATTTAGACTTTTCTTAATCAGACTGTTAAATTTAATTCTGAAAGTATTACAATGTATTTATGAATACCTATAAGAAGAATTTTACCAACTTATACTTTTTTCGGAGAAAAAAATTTCATGATTTATAATTCTCTGTTGTCAAGATGATCAGGATTATCCTGTATTGTCTGCTTTCATAAGTTTAAAAAGATAATTTCCTTTTTGGATGTATATACAGATAACCTTGTAGATTTGTAACCTTGTTGATTTTTGTGTGACTTTTCTTAGTTTCCTGAGGCCCCTAAAGGTTCATACAAGCCGTGGTTTGTTGAGCTGTAAAGAAGAAAATCTAAAGGAAGAGTGGTCACTGGTCAGTGATGGTGCTAAGGGGAAGTTTTTCATTCATAATAAAATCTAAAAACCAGGAGCTTTAATACTTGATAATACCAGGTCTTTGTACATAAATGAACTGGGAAAGTGTTTATATTTTTTTATTCATGTTTTGGTTGTTTTGAACAATGTTTTGATACAATCTACCTTTTTGAACAATCATTTTTTTTAGAATGTAGTACATGTAATATCTCATTTGGAGTTTCTCACCATATAATTGTATTGAAAATAATTATAGTCAAGGGTGATGATGTTTATGTAATCTTTTGTTTGTGAATTATAATTAAAATTTTTGTATGTATTTGTTCTGTACCTTAATTAATGTGGAAAATTTACGAGGTTTTGGACATGAATGTAAAGAATCTTCAAGTAATTATTATTTAAATGTTAAAAGCTATTAAGTGTTAAAGCAGAATTTGACATCACAAGATTTTCAGCAAGTATGATTTACATGTATCATGGTGTAGTCTATTTGCATTTTATAGAATTTCTGTGGAAATTTATTTGATCAACGGCTGAACTCCCCATCCCCAATAAATGGTTATTTTTCCTCCCAGCCTTTAGACATTCTACAACCTTTTCCTGTGGCCTTATATACAGTGCCTCTGTACAATTATAAGTTAAAAGTTTAATATGCATCACACTATAATGCATCACTTAATTGTCATAATATCTCCTAGCTGACTTACATATAGGTCCTCACAAATGTTTCTCATTTACATAATGTGATATTGGATTTTATTTATTGATGATGTTTTATAGATGTTTTAAGGGTGAAGAAGGCATAATTTGATGTTCTGGTATGTGGGTTACTTACTTCAGTGTACTTTCATGTTTTTTTTTAATATTTTGATAGGATAGTTATATTCCAGAAAATTGTATTCCTATTATAAATAGGTATTAACAGATAGATTATCATACTTTACTAAAATTAAATATGACTGTAACTGATGCATATGTTTGAACTGTTGTATGAGAGCATATGCTGTAATATTTTAAATATTGATGATTCATTGCTCATTCCTGTTTGTGCTCATTCATGAATTACAAGTTTAATTTTTTCAAATACAAGTCTTTATTAAAAAAAAATTGTCCAGTGATATGTGTAGTGACCATTAAATAGAATACAATTATTTTACTTGAGGTTAAATGTTAACAAACATAACAAATGTATTTTATGTTTTAATGAAATATTCCTTGTGTCCAAGTTTTATTGATATGTAAACAGTATTTTATGAAGAGTGCTACAGTGAAACTCCTTATAGCAAAGTCTTGGGGACCTGTGAATTTACTTTACAATATCTGAATTCGTTATAGTCTTATAACGAATTCATTAAATTATATATAGGAAATTTGTAATATGAAATATGGGGATTACAAACAGTATTCAAGCTCAAAGTCCATTAAAACAATACAAATCGGGAGCAGAGCAAACACAGACCTCCAAAAACAGAGGTGGGATCAAGTGCCATGGAGGAGTGAGCATGTTTTTCCTTGAACTATGACCATGGAATATATTCAGGGAAGTTTTAAATGCAAAACTTACCTTGGAGAACTAAAGTTTTCTGATGAATTAAATTTTAAATATAAATATGTATGAAAAATAATTTCAGTTCTGAATCAATGTTTAAATTTCATATACTGTATAACCTAATTCATTATACATGTAAAAGATGTAAATTGCATTATTTTTTATCTCTAAAATATACAAAAAAATCAATTTGCTATAATTGTAAATTTGATGTATCAGAGTTCATTATAACTGTAAGATTTGACAAAATATTGTTTAGAATAAAAGAATTTCATTTTGTCGTAAATTCTCTATAATCATGTTTGTACTAAAGAAGTTTAAATGTAGATTACTTTTAGATTTAAGTGTTCCAGGAAAAAAAAACTTCTTAGTTTTTTGTTTTGAAATGTGATGCTAAATACCAAAGGTAGTTAAACAGTATTTCATTAGGCTTTAAAATTCACTTACCTTTTAATATTGTGCTTCATTTGATAAAAAAAATTTTGTATGTAGCATGTGATATACATGTATAATTATCTGTTAATATTAAGTTTCATTAACCATTGTTTATATAATTAGGTAATTAATTTTACTTTTAAAGTTTTTGTACCCATGTTTCTTAGGCATAGTTTTTCAGCTCATAAAGATAATACATGTATAATGTGAAAATTTTACCGAGATTTAAGGATCTATTCGAACAGGTGGGGGATAGAGCTAGAACTAGAAATAATTTTTTACATACTGCTTGTATACAGGAAAAGAAATACTTTGAAAAATTTCCTCATCCAGAACCACCTGGCCATGTAAGTCATGTAGGTATTGAAGCAACTCCATGTTGTGTGGAATCAACTTCATTTAACTCATGGCCCCTTGGGAATAGGGTGGGGTCAGAATATGGGACAACATATTACAAGGAACTAAAAAGGGAAAAAAATATAAAAATCTTAAGAACAGCAGAGCTTATGGGCCTTTTGTTTCATGTGATAATGAGAAGTACACAAAGAACAGAGAGTAAAAGTACTTTAATAATTTAATAAAGTATTTTATTAGTAGTTGATATTTGCATTCATCTATTACATGAAATTGCAAAATCCAGTAATGTGGTTTGTCTTCCTTGTTATTTGTTTTGAATTGGTTGAAATGATATTTCTGTACATTAAAAAGTTATTGATTAGCTATATTTTTGCTATAAAATGTTATATATCTTTTGAATTTTTTGTACATTTCAATTACTTATTTGTTACAGTTGAAGAGAACATCTATACATTCCAAGAAGTTTGGTTTTTTGTTAGATACATATGGAGATATAATTTTTATATTAAGGTTTCCGTATAAATCTTGTTAGATCTTCTGCTTTGGGTAGGGTACATATTCATATCTAAATGTGGTTTGGTAATTTTCTTTTAAACAAAGATTATAAATGTGACATGTGCATAATTACGATCTACAATAATGTTGAAGACATGTTTTGAATAAAAGTATCTTTTCAACTTTTGTTTTGGTAGTCAATTGTATTAGAACATTCAAAGACAAAGTTGATTTTATATCCAATAGTCATATTTTGTCCTACTTAAAGTACATATATTCGTTGAGAACAGGCTTGAGTATATGTACAGTATGAAAGATAAGGTCTTCTTGGAGTGAATGGGATCAAAGTAAAGGGTCAAGGATTTGGCCCTTAATGTAGAGTATCTGTTTTCTAAGCTAAAAATAAAGGATTCTGTTAAATATGTTTCAAGGTCAAAGCAAAGGATCATTTATTATATCCTCTTTCACAGAGTAGTTCAAGCAAAAATCAAGAATTTGGTCCTCTTACATAGAGTATCGGTATCTATGGTTCAACCAAAGGATCAAGGATTTAATTTGTCCTCTTTTTAGCTCTGCTAATGTTATGACCATTTGTGCAGTGTACATCACCTCTTTGGAATATGGGCCATATCTAAAGAGCCCCTTAGTTAATTTTTGTCAAATTTGTTGCAGAGTACCCATGACCCAAGAGCTTTCATTTTATGTACTAATAATAGGAATGTGACCCTTAAACAGATAATTATGGAAAACGGGAAATTAAAAAAGTGGTTACTAAAAAATCTTCTCAAGAGCCACTGGGCAGATCATCAACAAACTTACACAAAGGATATGTTGTAGATTAAAAAAATGTTTCAAGGCATCACCCTGGGGTAAAGGGCATGGTCCCAAGGTCACTTCAAAGTGAGCTAGAATGATGTTTTGATAAAACTTTGATATTTTGTCCACTATGAGAACTAGGATTATCAAATCTTGTCAGTTGATGCATCTCTATAGGATATGTTATACTGACTCAACTAGAGGATATGGTGGACCTACTTTTTGAATTTTGAAGGTATTCATTTTCAAATTGATTTTAATGCATCTCTTTGACATTTTGAATCCTATCATCATCAAAATTTGTCAGTTGATCCATCAGTGGGTCATAAAGTGTGTCACCTAAAATGTAGGTTAATGTGACCTACACATGTACTTTCTTAAATTTGTGCTAATATTTTCAAAATACTTTAGTTCAGTTGGAAAATCAAACCTTGGAAGTTGATGCATTTTGGAGCCTTTGAACATATTTATGAAAAAGTAGGTCACAATGACATACCTTTTGAATTTTGCAAGTATTCATTTTCAGATTGTTTTAATTTCATATTTATGACACTTTGATGCTTAGGATCATCAAACCTTGTCAGTTAATGCATCCTAAAGCCTCGAAGTTTAGCAACAAAACAAGAAGGTTACTGTTACCTACCTCTGGAATATCATGACTATATTTAAATATTTCAGATACTACATGTAACTGGCTCAGGATCATCAAACTTTGTCAGTTGATACATCTTGGGTCCTCAAACTGTGCTAACTAAAAAGAAGGTCAAGATGAACTACTTTTGGAATTTTATAGCTGTATCTAAATATTTTGGATAATAAGAGGCTTAGAATCATCAAATTTCGTCAGTTGATGAATACATTTTGGGTCTTTGTGGTTAATTAAAAAAGTAGGTCACTGTAACATATTTTTTGCCCAATTTTTTTTCAATAAGGAATTTTATTCTTTTGTTTTCTTAGTTGACTCACTTTGGTCCTGGGATTGTGTCAACCAAAAATTAGGTCATCTTGACATACTTTCGGAATTTCACAGCAATATCCAGATATTTCAGATAATAAGAGGTTTCAAATCATCAAACTTTGGAAGTTGATGCATCTTTGGTTCTCAGACTGTGTTAACCAACAATTAAGTCAAGGTGACCTACTTTTGGAATTTTAGGGTTTTATCTAAATATTTAGGATACTAAGAGGCTTAGAATAGAAGTGGCAGGGTTGTGTGCAATTTATCAGAAGAGTGATTCTAGGCCTCTGGGCCTCTTGTTTAAAAATGTATCTGTGGTTCAAGCAAAGAATCAAGTATTTGTTTCTCTCACAAAAAGTATCTATGGTTCAAGATAAGGAATAAGGATTTGGTCCTATTTTAAAAATATCTATTGTCTAATAGTGCAAAGAAACAAGTATTTGGTTCTTTACAAAGAGTATCTGTGGTCCAACCAAAGAAGCAAGTATTTGGTCCTCTCCTATAGAATATGTGTGGTTCTAGAGAAGAATCATGGATTTGATCATAGTTTGCTATGCTTGTAGATAATGAACTGTTTTTGGTATGTATTTTGATATTGATGACTTGATGACTTACAGATTAAGTTTCGTGTTAATTGACCCATTTTTACGAAAGTTATTGCTCATAGACTTTGAAATTATTTTAATAATTCACC